AAAAGTTATTATTATTTAGTTTGAAATTAAAAATAAATAAATTTAAAATTTTAGTTATACATATAAAATATTAAAATTGACTGAATTAATTATATTTATATAATATTTTAATAACTAAACTAAATAGATGTCGAAAAGTGGATCAAATGAAAGGTATATTAATTTCTCTAATGTTCATTATTGGTTCTTGTACTTTGAATTAGAAGGCAATATCATTTTGGCTTATAACATTCATTGCAGGGTCACTATATGGGAAAGATCAAGGCATATTTATTGTAGAGACTTTATTCTTTCTAGGTAATTAAGCAATAAAATCGAATCAATTATTGCCTCTTTTCTTTTTCTTTTTTCTTCGTTTTGGTTCTATATATCTCGATTCTTATTTGTAGGAAGTTAACCAAATAAACGTTTTTTTTTTTTAAAGAAAAACAAAAACAAAAACCTTTTGAATCAAAAAGCACATATATGATTTAAAGTTAATAAGCGTCAATGTTCTTGTTTTTGTTTTATAAAGATTTGAATTAAGTTCTTTTTTATTTATAAATATATGATTTAAATCTCTTGGCTATTCATTATAGAAAGACAATTCCTTAAAAAAAAATTTCAATAATTAAGAATTTAAAATTTTTAAATTTAAATCTTAAAATAAGTAAACATATAGAACTATCCTATATATATATAATCATCATACGTTCATTATTATAGCGATGAATCTCAATATTGTTTCTGAATCCTAAGTATTACCCATTGTAGTGGGAATGATGAGGCCACCCATACTGGATTTAGTACCCATAATCCTTGGACAGCCGTTATTGTATCTTGGTAAGTAGTAACGTTTACTCAACTAGTCATTTTCAATTTTTACTACTCTCTTTTCTTGAGCGATCTGTTTTCTTAATTAGCACTTAAAGTATCAAGTTTCTTGAATATTATTGTTTCAACTTTAAATATTTAGGCTAACAAAGTCAACACATTTGGAAAGAATAATTAACTGTAAAGTACAAAGATACTAAAAGATACTAAAAGATATTGGTTTTACTCTAATTTCACTTAAATGTTGCTCTAATGGTACGTTAGTGCCTTGACATAGTGTCTTTACATGACCTTAATTTTCTTTTGTAGTTTATGTTATACCCATCAATTTTCTTGGATAAAATTTAATGGGACGAGAATTTTTCTTCATTCTTTAACAGCTATTTTGAATAAATATATATTCTTTCTCCTTCTCCTTCCCCTTTCTCTTTCTCCTTCCCCTTTCCCCTCTCTTTCTCCTCGAAACCCAGCAGGCCTGGGTTTGAAGGAACCCACCCAGGCGCTGGGTTCCTTGCGAACGCAACACGCTTGCCTGGGTTCGCATCAAACCTAGCACGCTTGGGTTTGGTTCCTTGCGAACCCAGTGCCTGGGTTCACAAGGAACCCAAGCATGCTGGGTTCACATCTGGGTTCCTACAAACCTAGCACGCAGCACGCTTGCCTGGTTTCGCACCGAACCTAGCATGCCTGGGTTCAGTGGAACCCAGCACGCTTGGGTTCGGTTCCTTGCGAACCCAGCGCCTGGGTTCCTTGCGAACCCAGCGCCTGGGTTCCTTGCGAACCCAGGTGCAAAAAATTTAAAAAGTTTTTGTTTTTTGGATTTTTTTGTTTGATTGTGATGAAAAATTGATTGATGAAGATGAAGAAGGCAAGGCAAGGCAGTTGCTGGGTTATTGCAGGTGCTGGGTTTGACGCTGGATTCGATTTTTCAATTTCAAACCTACCAGCCGCTAGGTTTTTGCAGGTGCTGGGTTCGAAATCGAACCCAACAGGCGGTGAGTTTCATTTCAAACCCAGCAGCTGCTGGGTCTGTGGAACCCAGCGGGTGCTAGGTTTGAGCAGCCGTTGTGTTCCTGCAAGTGAGGCTCTGGGTTTCGTTTCGAACCCAGCAGCCGTTGGGTCAAGTATCTATTGAGTTTAATCTGTTGATTTGTTGTGTTATCCTCGAATTTAATATTAAGAGTTAGGGTTTGTAGAAGGTTAAAGGAAAGGGAGAGAAAGAAGAAAGGGAAAAAGGAAAAACAAACGAAGAAAAAAAAAAGGAATAAGAAATTTTTTAAGATTTTGTTCCTGCCATCTTATTTTTTTGTCACTCTGTACATCCTAGGTGTCAAAATGCTTGTACATGTCATCGTTTTCCCATCAAGTAACGGGACACGTAGGTTGATATTTGACAGGAGGACCAAATCGGGGTAAAAATGGTAAACAGTAAGGACCAAATCAAGGATTTTTTTAGTTTAGGGACCAAATCTGGGGTCCGTACAATAATTTAGGGCCCAAAAAGAGGTTTTAACCTTTTTTTTTTCTTTCTTTTGTCTAATTCTCCCCGTCACAAAGTAAATATATAATGTAAATTGAATGGATGATAATAAATGGGATCACATTATTTAAAATATTAAAAAATAAATTTTA